CCGTGTAACAGGAAAGGGAAAAAAAAAAAACCCAAAAACGGTGGGGGGGGGGGTGTGCGTGTGGAATCACGTCTCGTAGATACAAAAAAAAAACAAAAACAAAAAAAACCCAGTTTCTTAGAGAGTTGAAGGAGTGCGTGGAGGAGGGAAAAAAGGAAAGGCAGCTGGCCGCCACTTAAAATGAGGGCTCCCGAGACTCGGCGCCCTGCTGCCCACAAGCTCCCACGCTTCCAAATTGAGATGGCACCGACTGGCAGGCGGAGAGAAGTAGGTCCGGTGTGGGGGGATGCCCCCCTTCTGGGAGGCAGTGCGTCGCTCCCCCCTTTTGCCCAGGGGGCTGCGTCCAGCTGCGAGCGGAGGCGACAAGCGCCCACGTGTGTAGAGATGTGTGTGTGTGTGTGCGCGCGTGCGGGCGCCGGGAGAGACCCCGAGACGCGCCAGGGACAGGCGGACGCCTTCAAGGTGGTTCTGCCGGCTTGCCTCCCTTCTCCTCCCGCGACTCTTGCTCTTCGCCCCCCCACCCCCCTCGCGGCGTGGGCGGCGATCTGAGCGGTCCTGCTTTCCTGGGGGCGGCAGACTGCTGTGGCTGTTTGCATTAACCGACCAGCTCACCTCCCTCCCTCCCTCCCTCCCTCCCTCGCTCGCTGGCGACTTCTGGCTGTACAACTTTTCCAGGAGCTCCCTCCTCTCCTCCTCCTCCTCCTCCTCCTTCTACTCCTCCTCCTCCTCCTCCTCAATTTTTTAAAAAGCCAAACCGAATCAAGAAGGCAGCTACTGCTGCTTCTCCAAGGCTTTCGTGATTCCGCCCCCTCCACCCGCGCGCTTTCTCCTAAGGCTGGGGATTGCAAAGCTCTTTTTCCGCCCTCGCCTTGGCACCTTTCCCCGCGGAGTAGTAGGTGGCGTGCCTTTTTGTATTTTCTTTTTTTTTTCCCACGGCTCCCTCCTTCCTCAGGGAGCTTTGAAGGGATGGGGCTGGCAGGCAGGCCGCCTCTCGTCCCCTGGCCTTACAGCCTCTCCCCTCTCTCGGAGCCCCCTTGCTCAACTCACG